GATTGGCCAAAGCAGGAAAACGCCAGATAGATTATTGTAATTTGTGAAAATTATTTTTGGACGATCAGTAAGTTTGCAAAAAAACTTCATCGAGGTTAGTCCACCCTTCATTCTAGAACCACCCCACAAAATGCTACCTACCTCTAGTGCCCCGGTGAGCGGAGAAAAAGACAATCAAGAATAAGCAGAAATATAGTTGAAACTGGACGGCTTTTTATCTTCGTACGCCATGCTTTGTATGTCGAAACAGACGTTTTGATATTCTACGTATAAATAAATTGAAACAAAATAGCATCGGGGGTCCTTATAGAAGAGAAAGTGAGTGTGTGATTGGTATATGCTGCGTTAGATAGTTTTGAGAAACAGAACAATTTTGCTCCAAATGTGGAAAAGATTTAACATTTCGTCTTGCCGTTGCTCTGCCAAACTCAGAGTTCATGCTCACATAATTGACAAACGAAACACATTTGTTATTGTTGGGCTTATCTACGGGCCTGCGGCATTGCAGCGTGCAGATAGAGGTCAGGTCACAAACTTCACTCTGAATACGTAGTGTTTGTCAACATTGGGCGTGGAGATGGGGTTTAAAAATTATTTTAATAACGATTTTAATTAAATATAATGTTTAGAAAGTACGTTTCAGAGAAATACAAACTTTTATTCGACGGGAAAAGCAGAAAAAAATTCATTTATTAAGGTAGGGAAGGCATAAAAGTGGAAATCAATCGAAAGGGTTTTGATAGGTAGAGTTGTAAGCATTTATCGTCACTTGTAAGAGATTAATATTAATATATTAATAGCAATTCGTCAGCCTATATTTAGATAGATTTTGTTTGATTGATTAATACGATACTACTATTAAATGCGTTGAATTTTTTCAACAGTATTATAGGCAATAAATATGCCAAAGCATTCTAGGCGAAAGCGTTGGATTTCATTTTGCACCGGTTGCGTTCGTTCAAAAGTGGTAAACGGAGATCTTGAAGACGACGTTTTCTTGACTGAAGACAACTCTTTGGGAGGCGGGAACAGTCCCTTGTCTCCACCTACCCCTATCAAAAATATATTGGACCCCCAAAACGGTGGGTTATCAACTTATTTCCATCGAGTTCGTTTATTTACGTAATGAATTTTTGGGCCTTTACGCGCGCAATACATCATTTTTTATTTGATTTTTCTGCACTATAGTTGTTCAAGCACAAATTGCATATTGATCACATATGGCCACTCTAGATTTTTGTATCAATTATATCTAATGTTTTGCGTAATTTTTGATTGATTGAGGACAGAGAAAAGGTTAGCTTAAGGGTTATCGATATGATGGATAAAGTTTGATTGACCAAGGTCAATATTCATTTGTAGACAGTTGGAAATTTTTCTTAACATTTCACATTCCCATAGTATTATATTCACTAGTATTGTGTTTAACATAATTTGCAGTTTTTCAGTTTTTTTAGATTTGCAAAATCAATTCAAAAATCAAAATTAAATTTTCATAATTATCTATTTTGATGGGGAGAGAAACCAAGCTATAATATTCTACAATAAAAATAATTTAGGCTCTTATTTTACTTTTAACAAAATTCAGTACCAACTCGAATGAAAAAAATTGTGTTTTGTTTTGGGAAACAATCCGATTACATACTTTTTCTCAAAATTCCTCTATCGAATACAGAAATATTACTAATTTTTCGAGGCAAAAAAAAATTTCTGCAGGTAATAAATATGGAAGAAAGCAGTACTTCAACTTCATTGTAAAGAAGGAAAAAAAATATATTTAAATGTGAAAAATGTGAAATCTTGACTGATGAATTACCGATGTTAGAATCCGAATAAAAAAATAATTTTTACTCTATAACTCTGTTGGACTAACAGGCTCCAGATGCCTCACACGACAACGACCTATAGTATATATTTGATTAATGGGAGATAGATTTTAAAACAACAGTTTTATAATTTCCCAGAACCAACTATTTCTTTTGTTTTTGTTCTTTGAAGTGAAACCACGAAATCGTATCAGGAAGGGCAATGTGGTTAAAAAACTTTTATTTTTGTGCTTGTACCGTTTTATTGACAAAACAGGTGTAAAGATACGGTGTTGCGAAATAAAATTTTTTGTTATCACCCTGTAAATAAGGAGTGGTAAATTAAACATTTTTTTTGCAGTGATGCCAGATATTGGATAATCATCTCAGTATATACCCTTAATTGTTGCATCATTGTTCTTCCCATATAGTATGTTCATTTGCCTATTTTGAAGGATTTAAATTAATAGGTGATAACAGTGTAATTTATCTTTATTCAGTTTAGTTATGCTTTTTATTCAAAGCTGATTTTGCCTTCTGGAGCCCCGGGGTTGCAATGAATTTTATCTTTCGTGGCATCTGGGCTTCTGTCTGATGTATTGTTTTACTACTATTGAAAATACGATATAATTAAATGGCAATAGGCTGTCATCCACTTAGCAAATTCGGAATTCATTGTGTTTATACTTTACTATGAATGTGCATTTCCAGCTAAAATGCAAGAGAGTTGACTTTTGAGTAATACGTCGACTAGCGTTGAACTTTAGGGTGTTTATTGTTTGCCGCTAATGAGAAGATGCTCTGATAAAAAAAAAACTAACAAGACAACAATACATTCTGTAAATTCCATCATTAAGCGTTTCACACACCCTGTACTCATTTTGAACCTTTATTTGATCCAATTAACACTGTGGTATCACCCATAACACGGTTGTGGTCAAGAACATTATGTACCCGTCAGTATCAGTGATACTTCTTAGTAAATTCCATTTAAAATTTAGTATGCAACTGTCCAGCAATCGTTTGAAAATGGATTTGCAATCCGTCACTGTTGTAGCAAGCAGAACTCAGACGTTATTTATTGTTTACCCCTTTTAGGCTGAATGAAATTTAAGAACTTTTTCGGCTTACTGTTCCTTAAATCTTAATTTAACCCAGATGTTTTCAATATTTGTTCTCTCATTTACCTCTTTGCAAATTTGAAAAGTAAAAATGATTCCCAAATCTTTATATTTTAACATGTACAAACAGTACAAACACCTACCGCATTGGATCATGTAACGAAGTGACACTGATGGCCTCTGGCTCAAAAAATTTACCCCCAAAAATGCCTAATTCACCCCAGGTTGAGAGACGTTTTGAAACGCCAATTTTTCTATTTCAGGTTTTATAACATGATCTAAAATGCTTGTGTCATTGCGATGAATTTTGTTTATTTTTCTTAATTATTCTGTGAGTCAATATGCCCGTAGGAGAGCTATTTCTCACACAGATATCATGTTGCTTACCATATATTTAAGGGTCGACCTCTAACACTAGATTTGGTATCAAATGCCCAGTAATTACATGATTATTTTGACCTCTGGTAAATTATAACTTCACGCTTCGGTAACACAGGTCATTCTCAAACGCCAACTCGAAAAGATTGAGGCTACGATCATAAACATTCAAGAAAGATATAGGGGGGGAAATTCAAAAGATATATTGAAATTACAGAAAATATTCACGTCTGGTTTTCACTTTGAATTATTGTATTGTGTAACGAATATACATAAAAACTTCCATAATCACTGATATTACCAAAAATTGAATCAAATTCCAAACTAATTTGATATTGTTTAAATTTGAGAGAAAGTAATTTCCAACTCGACCAATTGGAAGTAGTACTGTTGCATTTTCCATTCCAAATTTGTTATATGAACATAAATTTTATTAAAGTCAACTTTCAGATTTGCTAGTTTTGGAGACTTTACCTCAAAACAAATCTATATGATTATGATTCAAGCAATGCTATATGAACACCTCTATTACCGGTTATGAACTTTGTTGTTTGGTACATTGATCGGGTTATTTCCTTTTCTTGTAATAAGATATCCCTGTTATTAATGTCTTATTCATTTAAACATTTAATGAATGATAATGATCCTATTATTACATAAGCTATTATATTTCGCACTTTTTATATAAACAGTAGCACATACAAACACGACAATTAATAACACCACGCGCGAATATTAAATTAAACGTTTTTATGTTTGCATTAACGACAATCGCGGGATGGAATGTTGTCACTATATTTATTTGATAGCACACATCTTGTTTAGCTGCCCGAAAAACCAAAACCGTCTATAACCGCCCCATACGATGTCATTCGAAAACCGTTTGGGTCACCCTATTCCTATCTATTACTACGCTAGACCAATTTCTATATCGGTGGTTCTGATTTTAGTCTGTGGAATTTTGTGTTCATACCCAAAATCAGTATATAATAAGAATAAAAATGAGCTGTAACTTGATTAGATATTGTCAGTGAAAAAAACTCATCGCGGGGTGAAACTTTGTCGTGTTTACTTCCGACTTTAGGTCCTACACAATATTTTCAGGTTTTTGAGGCTTTTGCAATTCCCATAATGATCTTAACCCTTGCAATAATCTTACAGATTTACTAAGGATTTGTATTTAATCTTACCGGGGTTCATGAACTTAATCCAAGTTAGGGTGGCGAACTAAGTAAAGAGGCAAGTTTAATTTTGGAACGTCACAGAAGCATCGCACTATATTTTCGTTTTCAAATAATTTATCGCTCATCGAGAAGAATAAAATTATGACAGAAATATATAGCACTAGAACTAAGACCATGAGAAAAATTTATATATTTTTTGGTTGACTACAACTATTCAGTCAGAAATTGTGGCGTCATAAATGTAAACTGTGACGCCATACATATGATGTCCACCGTCTACTAGTTTCCCATTCTTAACAAATGGTAAGGTGTAAGAACTAATATATACGCGGTACACCATCTGTATATTAAATTACCATGAAAACATTACTTGAATATGAATCTTTCTAAATTGTGGAGTCAGATATTGAAACTAGATATCCTTGCGTGACGCGTTTAGTTATTGAACAAGTTCGCTCGCTGCCTATGTGCTCATGCGTTGAGATAGTTAACCCTTATCTCATCAATTTCAGAAATTGCAACTCCGAGGAGCTCCACACCATCAACGCCGAGGAGTTATAAAGGATCGCTGAGAAAAACTTCAAATACCGAGTAAGTTATATGAATTCTTAGAACAGTATTTCAGAATTATTTTTACATACCTTAATTACCTCTTACAAAGCTCGGTTCAAGAATCTCCTTATTCTTTGTACCTTTAGAATCAAATTAGTTAGCTTAACATTTCTGTTGTGTTTACTGCTCTTCAGAGGCCACCCACAACTTCAGGGATCTTCATTTATAAACTGGGGTTAAGATCCATCATATGACCCAACGCTTGTTCATTGTTTGGGGTTAAATTGGGTCTTCAAATAAACAAGAAAACCTATCAAACTTCAGTTTAAATAAAAATGAATTGTCGATATTCAATCTTCTCAACTTTGTTACTAATAAAAATGCTTGCCAATATTATCATCGATAGTAACATCATCATACTAGATACTATATCATACATTTGTATTCAAAATATTATTAACAATATTAGGATGGAGATATTGGATTTAAACACGTATCTATTGACACACGTTTAAAATAATATGCCCGGAGACCAAATTTTGTCTGTCACCAAGGGGTACGTACCGCCCGAATTCATTCCCGAATATCGGCGTGTAAACTCCACATAGAAATGTTAACATAAAATTATAGTTTGAGAAAATGATTTTATTATTCATTTTAACAATCCTATTGGTAAATTGGTAAAGTTCAATAGGTCTTTGGACTTTCAAAAAATCTTCGTTTGTTTTACTCAAATATTATATTAATCTAATCACTCATAAGAATTTACCAAGATTGTTTATGTGCGCAGGGTTGCGCATCATGGATCGAGCCTGAAACGCATATTATTTTTAATAATTATGTATGCACTATCTATGATAAAATATAATTTCTAGGTTCAAATATTGCGGTTCACACAAAACAATATTTTCGTAGAAATTAATGAATTTATCATCATCAAGATATTATCATGTCAAATAAGACTTATCCTTGATCAAACGTGATGAATAGACGGTATGGGTGGGCCATGGACATCCCATATTTGATCGAAGAAGCTTTTAGACATTGTACGCTACATTAAGTTCTGTCACATTGCGTAAACCCGCTAATTTTACTCACAACTATTTTTCGTTGATTCATGCCAAGTCAAACTTAATTTAATGAAATAGCCATTTTGTGTGGTAATTATGAATGAGTGCTATTTTTGTGTGAACGGATTCCAAGTTGGTGACATAATTGACAAAATTGTTTTCGGGAAATCTAGACAGTCATCTAGACCAGTGATTCCCAAAGTGGGCGATATCGCCCCCCGGTGGGCGAAAACGATACAGAGGGGGGCGAAAAAGTCGAAGGGGGGCGATTTCGCGAAACCTGTTTTTGTTCGGCGCATCGATGCACTTGATTACTGTACTCTGCGTTCTTTCGTATGTTTGAATCACGTGGGCGATTATCACACGCAAAACGATTGCTGGACTTGTCTTCGCAGTAAGGCACGGCAGTTTGCGTATCCCAGTGGTCGGCAAATACGGCCGGAGTAAAATATGTCTACATAAATACCTTTTATCCGCCTATCTCTTCTAATTGAAACCATTCAACAATTTGTTTTTTAAAAGTACCGGTAAAGAATTTTAGCCTAGTCTATCACAGCTATTTCTATACTAATTTTTGATTACTGTAATTAAACTGAGACTCCTAAGAAGACAAAGTGATCATTGACTTGTTTGATTTATGTCTGACCGGATGCGAAAGGGGGCATTGTTCCGTTTATTTTTGCATCTTGCTGATTGGCCAATGTCACGAAGTAAACAAGGAAGTCGATGCCCGGCGAAACACCCTAGCGGCGGTTTTGACTAAGTATTTTATTTATAATCTACGCAAGGAGTAAATTACATTTTTTTACGAAACAGAATTTCTCGTGAGACAAGTTTAGACTAAATTTCATTTCGTTATATATCCTAAAAATTCTACTGAAAAGCTACTCGTTTAACGAGCCTACAATTTAATTAGACAAATGGAAACACGTAGAAAAGTTGATGCTGAGTGCCAGGGTTCAATAGCGCAGTAAATATTCGAATATATTGCAATGCAATGAGGAAATTAAATTCATATTCTATTTGAGAGATTTGTTCACTGCTTAATTTTTGAAAGAATGTGTTTTCTTAAAGAAAATCTTTATCAAAATTTCACAAACCATGCGAAAATATTCACTTCGATGTTTGGAAGTGGGCTACATATTTGTGCGAACAATTATTTTCGAAAATCTACATTACAAATAACTAGAATTAGTGACAGTGTCACATTAAATGTCATTGTAATAATTTTTTAATAGGACGAGTTGAGTAGCTGAGTTGAGTTCACGAATTTTTGCAGTTTTCGCGCGCTGTTCCGTCTTAGCTTTCAAAAAATATATGCGACCGGCAAAAGACTAGCAACCCTACATTTTGTCTTGCGAAGGACATAAAATTTGCCGACCTCTGGGCCGTAGCCGATAGTTGGTCACGATCCCTCCACATCCGAGTGCACGAATTCAAAACGAAGGACTGATTAATTCTATGGACTGGTGATCGAACTGAAGGCCGTGGTAGGATGATAATCGGGGTTGAATTTTACCGAAGACCGTTACATACCATGTATTTTGGTGCAGGTCACCAGGCTGTAGGGACGAACAAGATGTACGAAAATATTTAATAAGTTTAGGAAAATTAACTTTGTTTTCATCATTTTAATGTGAAATGGGGTGAATTTAAGGAGGTAATTGCTATAAGGCAAGAGTACACGGGTTTACAGAAGGTAAAACTCTGGAATTTTCCATTTCCGACCTCTTATATGGTGAAAAAAGGATTTTCTGCCATGCTACTAATGCTATCAAAACAACGAAATCGCCTTTCCATCAGTAAACGGGGTAATTTTAGATATAATAATAAACTCACTGAAGATCACCAAGCTCATCCATCTTATTAAAAAACACTGTAAACTATGAGTTGTCTTCTTATTTGGTCTGTAATATATTCGTTACTGGCCTAACATTTTTTTGTAGTGTTGGGGGGCGATGAAGTTGTATAAACTACTTTAGGGGGGCGATGCTACAAAAAAGTTTGGCAACCACTGATCTAGACTACAAAAAATGGGTAACAATTACAGAAAAACATATCTTCTATTGATTGAATTAGCGCGAGCGTGAGTTTTAGCAACAAAATCGGTAATATTTTCGGTAATATCCAAATTTCAAAAAGTTTGTAGAACAGGAATAGATATTCACTCTCTCACGAGAATGATAAGTAAGGAAATGTCACGGAAATTCGGCAACAACACAAATCGTAAAATGTCGAGATGTTTGCTGAGGTCTTTGTAATGGTTTCATGAATGTTTCTCCGACCTTTGACCCCCGTAAAATATTTCCTATACTTCACTATGGTGATTATTTTAAGAGTGGTTTCGCGAGTTGGCGACTATAAATCGATTTATATGTTTCAAACCATCATTTTGGTTCAAAACATTCAACGACCTGTCGTTTGAAAGTACCGCTAGGAAAGTTAGCCTAATCTATCACATCTATTTCCAGGCTAATTTTCGATAACTGTAATTAATTAAACCAAAATTTATGACGACAAAATGATTATTGAATTATTAGAATCATACTCAAAATTCCGAAGCACAATTCAAAACTAATTAATAGCCTGCAAAACCCCGAAAATGAGTCAATGTTTACAGCCATGCCTGGAAATCTGTCTGAGTGACAAAAGTGTCTGAGCAGCTGTTAAAACGTCTATTTTTACGTCACTCCTCCGGTCTTGCTGAATAGCCAATATTACGGATATAAACAAGGAAGTCTATGCTGGGGAAACATGCTTTCATGTTTAAAGTATATTAACTTGCCTTTTTTTCCTGGAAATTCATTTGAATGCGTGATAAAATATTTTCGAATTGTTATCGAAATGCCTCATTTGTAATCGGAACAAACGAAATATATACATTGTTCATTTCTATACAAAATAAGTGACACGGAATAGACGGACAACGTATTTCCACAAATTGAAAACTTTTTCCACGCGGAAAATTGAATTAATTTTACGCTTGTTGGAAATGAATCAAATGTACGAATGTGCCGGTGCTAAAATTCATATTACATCTGTTGGATTAAAGATGAAAGTTATATTTTATTGGTTACATTCGTTGAATAAATATTGCGACTTCTTCAATATTTGTCTTAACATATCTTTCGGAAACTTGGTAACTGAAAGTACATTGAGTTATGCAATTTTAAAGCAGTAACAGGAAGAGTGTTGCGGCGCATCTTCGGATCAAAAGTTTAGTTTCCAATAACAGAAACTAATCATAAACGACCCATTGTGTATTCAATAACGTTTGTGGTCATTTCAAAGTGGTATTCTATTATAATTGTCTCAAGATTTATGGGATCAAACAACCTCAATACCTCAATAACCATATAAAGTTGTATCGGTGTAGTCACTGTCTCTACCGCTAGTCAAAAATTCTCAACTCTGTTCATCCGCACGGTATTTCAAAAATTTGGGGAACTTTGCCATTTATATACCTTATATTTTTTGACTTCGTACACTTCGTTTTACTGCGACCATCTTAATAAACATTCAAATTTAATTTTGAAGAACAGTGGTTTGTTGTATCTAAAAAATCTAAGAATTTGACTTACTACACAAAAATAATAGGATCAGAAAATTTCATTTTTGGCAATCTTATACGTATCATATGCATCCCTTTCATCGCGGGATTAGGTCAAGTGATATTCGTTTTATGATACGATACCAAAATAAATAAAAACCATGCGCGGTGTTAAGCTTCTGTAATTTCATCCGCTTTGGGTGAATTTCGTTAACACGATCACGTGCATCGTCATGGTTGATTTCACTCGGAATTTGCAACAGGAAGCTACTTTTATGAGAACTTCAAATAAGACTAATGGAATTGATGTTTCAACTGACTTCTATCGTAAGATACTTACTGGATATAGATATCAGACTGTTAAAAATGTTGGGAAATTTACCAATCTCGAATATACGTATACGTATTACGTATATAGTTTTGTACGCGGGGTCAGATATCTGCCGTAGGTTATATATCAAAAAACATCTGACATTTTTTTTTATCAATTTTAATATTTTTTGTTTTTGAATTCTGTTTCAAAACTTGGTATTTTACACCCTCTATTTAAATTCAGAACAATTTGATTATAATGAAAATATACATGATGTAATTTTGTGTAACGTTGACACATTTTTAAAAAGTATAATCGCGTGAAAACACGTGTGAAAGCAGGTGTGCCAAATATTTTACATTGGAATGTCATGAAACATTACGGAAAAGAGAGGCATGACGTATTTAGCCACGTTGCCGAACATAAAGGCCACCGTATTTTCTTATATACAAAGTCAAATGGGGTTACGTTACATGGTTCGTAGAATGGACATCGAACTGACCATTGCCCAATGCGTATTGTACCTTTTATTTTGACAAATGTAATCTCTGTTAACGTACAAGTAATATATGTTTGTACAGTTGGCGAAGAGTGAAATTTTGTTGAAATCAATAAATAAATTTATCGATGAAAGCGTTCACCGTATGTTATAAACAAAATCTTTATTGTTCAGCATATGTGGTATGAAATGCCACAATTCATGCAATTCGTGATGCGGGGCTGGAGGGGAAGTTTGTCAGTCAGAATTCCTTCAGCCCAGACTCGGTACTTAGAGTTACAATTTTTGCTAACGCGAATTCGTGAGTCGGTGGCTTTTTTTTTAAATTGCTTGGTAGTTTGGAGTCGAAGTTGAATGTAAAATTTCTTCAACTACGCAGACCTACATGCAATGCAGTTTAAGCCACAGTTCAAAACCAGCTTGCTAACGTTGCCAATAAATACCCATAACAATATGACAATAATTAGACAGATATTTACAACATATTTCGGGATGGCTCGGGATGACTTTGCGTTTAGTGTGAATTTGGCCAAGAAATATTTTTGAATCGTTACATTTCCAGTCCATACCTATATAGGATTGATTGTCACTGGTTATGCCTACATTATATCGATCTGCACTATTCACTTGATTGCGTTATTTCAATTTTCGGGCATTCTGCAATGCTTCAAATAAAACGTTCTTCTTCTATTCGGAATCGGGATGGTAAATTACGTTTCATTCCATACAAAGATTCTTCTCACAAAGTTGGCCAAGGTTATAATTATTATAAAACACACTACATTCATATATTTACCTCTGTGAATAACTATCATATTTAATATTAAACATTTATTGGTTTGCGCGTTTGAAGTGGTTTCTATTTCCGCCTGTGGTGATACTTTCTCCTTGGATGAGTTGCATATTAATTTTTGCATTCGCATTTTACGGTTTTTATCTTCTGATGCGTAACTAAACGCGCAATTTATATTTCTTCCGACCACAAACGGAAATTTATGCAATTACCACATAAGACCACCCGCAACGTGCTGAGAATCTGAGATATAAGCTATGTCAATTTCACTTATATTGATGAGTAAAGCAAAGTCCTATAGTTGGCATAGTATGTGAAGAGTTTATATTTTTGCATATTTTGTGCCTGCCTTTCTGATAATTATCTTTTCCCGTTCTCAACTTTTTCAATAATCAATCGTTAGATGGCACTGTTGAACGCCCAGACAAAATAATTGTGACGTCATTTGTGATCCAAATTCGCTAATCCATGGCTTCACTCTGTCATGATGTTTTTGTTTTAGCCTTGATGCTTTAGCTCAGCAGGGATTCAGAATTTTGCCCGCAATTGTGTTTTGATAAATTTTATTTTGTACGAAATGATTTTAAACCTTCATTTTCACCTCCATTAAAATTTTGAGAATAGGGAATATGCAAATTCAACATTTAGAAATTATGTTCATATTTGGTGGAAATTTGTTTTGCCATTTAGTATCAGCGTTATATTTGTAATATTACACTAATTCAATACACTAAATTCAAAATCAGATAGATAGATAATTCGTCCACACTTCTTCAATACAATTCAATTGAAAAAAAAAAAGATTTTAAATTAGCCTTAGCAAACGTTATTTTCATTGTATAGTTTCAACTGAAGGTAAAACCAAACCCACAATGGAACCTAACACCCCTATTTTACGGTACTCTCGATTGATATTTCAAGATCTCTAGAAGAGGATTTGAAGTATCTGTTACTCCATTTTCTGGTTTTCTGAAGTACTAGCCCACAACAATAGAAAACACCATAACATTATCTGGTCCCACAAAGTAATTAAAAAATTCCCCGTGTTACAGGAAAATGAACCCATTTATTTGCGCTCGTCTATTTTGTCTCGTGCTACGTGTTTTGTATATTTTTGCAATTTGCCTGTTTTGGGCATTCGTACATATTTAGTTTTGCATTTTTATACCCTACAAATTAGCCTTTGTTGAGCCAGCATGACCAGCCAATAATCGGAGATTCAAGACGATTTTTTTTCTGGTGTATAGGTATAGATAATCACAGCTCCCAACCAGACAAACGACGAGTCGGCTATAACTTTTATATTCTAGTAAAATTTATTTGTATTTTTACACCATAAAATGTAGGTGTGTTCGGATCTAAGGTTTAATTTTCACTCCTACTAATTTTGATATACAATTACTCGTTCAATAACGATTTTAATTACTGATAATGACACATTACTCGGAAAATCGTTTTCTACGTATTTTCATAAAGAAGTCTCGTGCTATCACTTCAAAATCATGTAAAATTCCATACATATTTTGTAACTCTCGAGAGGAAAATAAAATTAATGCTATTGCCAGCTAACATAATACGATATCACGAGATAAAACGAAACGTATATTTACGATTTTGTTGTGTAACTAGAGGTTGAAAGCTTATGGTTTACGCGTTGAAGGGTGATATCTTGGGGTCTATCCTTGATAAATCTAAGAATGGTCTTCTAAATCTTATTAGCACTTCTGTTCGGTCAAAGTTGAAATGACCCATAAAATTGAAAATTTTTTTAGAGTAATATTCGTTTTGTCGTCACAGTTACATTGGTTTGATTCAATGATAGTAATTTTATAACAAATTATACTGACTTTCTATGCAGTTATTTCCATGTTAATGTATAATGTGCGATCCTCAAAAAATATTGACCATTAAATTCCGATAACATCAATTTTTTTTTAAACTTTTCTAAGGGAGAAACAAGATTTCAACAGCTGTGGTGATAGTATTAAAAGTAGTGACAGTGGAATCAGCAGACCTTCATCGAGAGAAACAAATTCCTCGTCAAGTTCTTTTCCCCCTTCAGTATTCAGCGACTGTGTATCAGCGTCTTCACAAGGTAAGCGTATGATTCGTTGTAATCCTTCGGTGTATAGGGTTCTAAATTCCAAAATTACACTCAGAGTTCACATAACCACTTTATTCGTTTGCATATATATGACTTTGAACGTATATGTGATTGAATATTTCTGTATAGGCAGGTCATTGCGTGTTTTTTTAATATTCTAAATATAAAACACAATAAGGCGCAACAATTTTTGTGTCATTATTTTGTGTTTTTCAATCACACACAGAATTCACGTGCCATCTATATTCTTGTGTTTATATGCAACTTAAATATATATGTCAATGAACATTTTGGCCATTGTGTGTTTTTAGGAATCTAAATCATTAAACTACATAGAAAAGCACACAAAAATACGTATACCCTTTATGTGTCCTAATTTTGTGTTTTCCAATTACACACAGAATCCCCATTTCCATCGTTTTTGTGTAGTAATATGTGATTTTAAAAATGTGCAATTGCTTATTAATGTAAATCTACGATCATTGTGCATTTTTTTTAAATCAATAACACATAAAAAGAAACACGAAAACACCGTCTTTTTGTGGGTGTAAATTTTTTACTTCCAATCTACAAAAACAACACTTAAACCGTCTAGGTCAATCTCCTTGAGTCATTACTTTCATTTTTACAACGATGTGATTTAATTATAAGTTTATGTCTAAAAACAGTACAAATGAAATCACCTGTGGTTTGAGATCAACAATTTACTTTCCCACTTCCGCAGAAATAATAATAAAGTAAAATACTTCCGCGTCGCGACAGTGATAGATATGTGAAAATGCCTTTTGGCAATATTTAAACAAATTGTTGTTGGAATTTGTAACCGAATACACACCCCCTAAATCCTGAAGTTGATGTAGGTATTTATTACATTTTAAAGGGCTTGTTATGCAGCATATTATGCAGGTATATTTGCAGTTTGTGTTAAAATAATTTATCAACTACGAGTCGTCGGGGTGGTGGAATGAGAGAGATAGTTTGAATAAACGTCACTGGGTACTCCCGTAGAGTGTGTACCAGGTTAGGGTTAGGCCATAATTTTATTCCGATTTTCCTTATTTTAGTTATATTACGAGTTCGGGGACTGTCGGTGTTAGCCCAATGAATATACCCCCTGCCGATAGGTTTCAGTCCCTTTACACAACTTGACGTAATGTAGACGAACAAAATTAGTTACTTCCATATTGGTACACACACTTCTGGAGTGCCCGTAGCTGAGTGAATTTTAAGTCTTTACTCCTACAATAAGTGGCTACCGCTAAAAGGTTGAAAAGAATTTACATGCTTGCGCTGTAACGGGATTGTAAACTAAAAATGTTAGTTACTATATGTTATTCATTTGCCACAGTTTTGCTTATATTATACGTTTTCTCCGTCGGTTTCATACTATAATGCCTCTGGAGGATTATTAACCAATACGATTTTATTGTTAATTTCATAAAATATTGATATGCTATTCTTTTACCAGGACTCTTTTCTCCGGATTCTTTATTTGGTAGCATGGGATCTTCAGGAGATCGACCGCCACAGTTTACTAATCAACCACGACCTCAAGTGGTCGAAGAAGCGGAATCCGTTACTTTTGATTGCAAGGTAGATGGAAGTCCGAAGCCAACAGTATCCTGGTTTAAGGTGAGAAAGACGTTTTTTAAATGCCTTCGGCAAATATACGGTATTTTGGATCGGCGTCTTATGTAAAACAAGGCCCATCGATTTTTTCACGTACTTTACATGCTGAGTTAGGGCATTTCCTATATTGTGTGCCCGGATTAGATTAAATATCTGTATCCAATTTCGGTTTAGCTATAGTTACGGTTCAAGTCAGATAGTCGCACAAAAGTTTTTTCGCAACCCCAAATTTTTAATACTCGATTATTGATATACACGTCATGAATAAATGGGGCCAAAAAGATGGGTTTTATAAAGACTATTGTAAGACTGATACCATTGAATAAACTGCTATTTTCGAACATGCATCATGACCGGAAAAGGGGCTTTCCGTTTAAAAAGGGATTGGTCATCATTCCTTTGCACGGAATTTGATCTAATAGATAATATTTTCTATGTCGATAATACATTGCTTATCCCTGAGATAGAAACAGCTCATGATTCATCATGTAACAATGATAATACATACTTTGTATTTAGCATCGCTTCAATACCATAGTTGGAACTGAAAATCGCATTGTCAAATCGGCAAACCAAAAAATTATAATTGCTCTGATATATTTGCGTAACGAGCAATGGGGAGATACGATTTCGCAGGGTTACCATTTGAATATTTAGAAACGGAAATTAATTAAAAAGAAGTTGTTGACATGAATGCAAATAAATGATAACTGCTTGCGAAACTAGAAAAATATTAGAATTTGTGTAATGACGCTCATTACCAAAAGTTTTAAAATACTAACATAGAAAAATCCCTCGATAGTCAACCTTTATTTTATTGGGCAAAGTATATCAGCTAAAAACTTGATGGAAAGGTTTGGCCAATCAAGATGAAGCAAACACTTTTGTTAAAAAAGCAGAGGTATTCTCGAATTATTCCGTATAGAAAGGTATTTTTGAATTGATTCAGGGGAGGATGCAAGAACACCGACAACAATTGATAAAAAATAAAGATATTATTTACACATTCTGTCACCGAAACTCTTCTATATTGATGGTATTTATGTATTCTTTTGTGTTGAATAGCGCGAGTAGACAACAGGAAAATCCGTGGCTTTCTTGAGGTTAGGATCAAGTATTGAAATTGGGGTCGCATAGAGCGTCATTTGTGGTTGGATTGAGAGAACCTCTGTTTTCCCATAAGTATATATTCTATTATTTGCCGAACAAGTTTATATAAAGTTCATGCATTACTGGATTAAATTACTGTTGCAAATGGTAAAGGTAGCCTGGTATTTTGACCCAAAAGTTTAGGAAAGCTAGGATAACTGTATATCCATTTCTCCTTCGTATATAAAGAACACGTGCAAGCAGTAAAGTCTACATTTTATGGTTACCGAAAAGCTTCAGTTCATGACTCTATAATCCTTACAATTCTTGTTACCGGTAACAATACAGATTTTATTACCAATTTATATGTCTGGAGGCTTGTTGAGCAAATTTGTGTCGCTTTCGCGTAGATTCAAGTACGTTATTGTGTTATGGTAGGTGCATACGTTGTGTTTCAGACAAAGATGTAGGCAGTGGGCGAATAAAAATGTTTTAGGTAATCTATATTTTGTCATAATATGACTTAGCAGCTATAGTCATGAGTAGGTTGTTGATTACGGGCAATTGAACATAGGCAGGGTGATTTATATTAGTTCAAACTTTATTATGATCTCACCAAATGATGCTAGGCGCAAAGAAGTTTGGTGATCGTTGTTAAGTATGTTTACAAATCCAGGTGTTTATAAGTAGGCTTTTGTTGTTTGTATGACTGAAGATCTTTATGACGTCATTGGTGACGTAATAATCTATTTGATGTGACTCATTCAAACTCAAAAGGCCAATTGTTCGAGATACCTCAACCGACTCGTAATTGTGTAAACGTTAGTTATTCGTCGTTGTGTTGGGCAGGCTAGGTTCTTTCTAAAAAAAAAATCGATTTTAGCGGATATTAAAGAATAGAAAAGTTTAACAATAGATTCTTTTGTAAACAAATTGACCCAAAAAACAACAGATAGCCTGTCCGATTCCTTTATAAGAACAACGAACAATGGCCAGCTATGATAACCGTCGCTGGTATAATTGGTCGGTTGGAATAACTTGAACCGCTTCAATAGTTATTAGAAAATATTTCATGATATATTTTTGGTCATGCATAATCATACTTCATAATCATACTAGTCGAAATTTATGATCGTACCAAGCCCGATATAACCAAATTATATACCCCCCTTTTCAACAATGTGTAAATTGAAATATTTTGGGTATTTGTGGCGTTGTATTTGTCGTGTTCCCTTTTATATCTAAAAAAATGATATTTCGTTAATTTGAGTATTATTAAAAATGGTCTTTTGTGGGTGAACACTCAAATATGTAGAAATGGTTCTTTTTGTCTGAAGAGTCCTCAAGAGCGCATAACCTCGCCAATAGTAATATGTGTATGATATGTTTTGTACCAGTTTTTGGTTAGCGTATCATTAATAGTGACGCATGGTTTGAAGGAGGTTTAGTGCAGTTTCGTGATCCGATTTTGAACGAATAGATTAGAAGTAGATTAGATCCTGTTGGATTATTTCTTCGTTTTTTTTCGTATGGTCAGTCCAACGATGAAACTCAAGCTTGGATAAGTGTGTTACAGATTCGTCAGTGGCGAATTGGAGATCAAAAATTTCCCCGGCAAAGTATTCGAAAAAGAGAATGTAGAAAGTTATATTTGAAACTCAATAACATATTGTTGGCGTTCGCTCCAAACAGCAAATATGTCCTATTCACTATTTTTTATCACTTCATTAGCAGAAATATGAGAAGGAAGATAACACATGCGCTAGTTCATTTTCGCGCTTACGTCCTTGGCAATCCTATGAATTTTTTGCATAGCATCCCTTGTGACCCCACCCTTGATATATACCTAATTTCCGTGTATTATATGCCAAAATTATGGTACGTATTTCTGGATTGAAATTCTATACCTTTTGAGTTGTTTTATGCGGATTTCGAAAGCTAATCGCGTGATATGATAAAATTTCTTCTACCACATAAAACGGCTCTTAAATTGCTTTAAACTCCGGCTTAAGGAAAATGACCTTCGTCTCGAGTTACAATCTCAATGTCCATTTAAGCATGCACTAAGTATTTCTATATCTGATGTGACTTATCATGGTTAGTGGAATATTATGTTCGAACTATGTTTGATCATACATATGGAGTAGTTTGTTTAACAATGCTCGGTCGGCCAGGTATGATATCGTTGAAATCTGTTTATGTATATACTTGTACACAGAATTTTCTCATGTGCGCTCCCGATTTGCCCTCAGGCTACGTTTCAGCAATTTTTCACGTGTAGTGTTCCCTATTGTATGAATTTCCGAATAAACAAACAGTTAGAACGCATTCAAGTCGGTCCTAAGAAGGGTTACGCATCTATAAATTACGATTCACAATCGCTTTGTAGAGTAAATTAAAGTAATTGAGCAAATTAAAAAAAAAATTGCAATATTTTTTTACCAAAAATTAGATTAAAGGTGTCACTGATACATTTTTCATGGCAAGTTGAGCAGCGTGTGGCTTGTAAAGTCATAGAGTCATTGAAATTATAGGTTGTCAATGCGTCTTGAGTATTTGTAAGTGTTCTTGAGATATATCTATTATTGCATCCTGTATTTTTCTATGCGGCTTGTTTGGGTGGGGGCCGTGGCGTCGTCTGCGAGTTCGAAGTATTCGAACTTTGTTTTGTTTTTTGGAAAATTGGCAGGATTTAAAATCAAGTGATAATTTTGGTAGAAATTGATACTTTGTGTGGTTTAGAGTAGAAATTTGTGGAAAGGAAATATGAACAACATTGTTTGGGAGAAATGATATTTTTGTATTTTGTAGAAATATTTGAGGAATTATGGGTAAATGAGCACATAGGCCGGAATTGTAAATTCAATTTGTATTCACATTATCTGTATCAAATAGGACATTTATAACATGCTGTTACTTTTAAAAGTCATTAACTTTTTTGAAGACTCATTTAAGCGATCTGCAGTCATGAAGGAATGACGTGCATTTTTTCCTCTAAGATTTTACAGTTTCAATATGACGACGTCGTGATGGTAATGTTGAAAAATTGTTTTTGTATGTTGAAATACTAAGTCGGGGCTGGTATGACTGATTAACTGGTACTTTGCAAAATCCAGTAATTAGTTTGAAATTATCGTTTTTCGATAGCGATTTTATTAAGATGGATGTACTTTGAATTGTTTTGACCCAAAACTCATGAAACTCTCCCCACAAAATTATTAAAACAGGCCGAGGATAAAAACCGACAATCATGTAAAAATTCTCCGTTCGTGTAGCGTGCACTTGTGGTCAAAAATATTGTTTTGTCCACGCAAATCTTCAGTGGTGCGTTATTGCGCAATTTAATTTCGCAAATGAGCGGCGAACTGATTCAAGCACCATTCCAGTTTGAGACTTTTATATCATATTTGATTTGAGTGAAAACTTTCCGTTGATACGTTAACTCGATTATTCATTAATAACATATTTATTTACACTTTGAAACTTGTCAAAATTCCAATATTTCATTAAGATTAATATACAGATCATTCATGTCTGGGATACACATGATCAAATTTAGAAATTCCAATTATTCTCGTACCATACTAGGCCAAAGACAAAGTGCAGACCCAACTTCTCAAGTGTAAAACTGGGCAAATAAAATGCTTGGATAACTTCACCGCCCTGATTTAAGATGCTAACTGTATATTTGTATTGTGCGGTTGCCATCGCTTGTTAGCTAGTTGACTGTGTTATTTGTGAGAAGACGGAGGATTTTGAATAAGAAATTGTACAGCATTGAATTACTTTTCAAGAGATAAAGAATTAGGAGTTTTTGATAGTTATCGGAAACAAAGATGGTAATATGGGCTGTCGTGTGGCAGCGAGTTTTGCTTTTAGGGCAGCATATATGCAAGATATAAATATTCGAATTT